AAAACTTTTTGGCTTTATGTTCCATAGCATCTCATCCTCGCTTCTGTCGGGTTCGTCACTATGTATTTATATAATATTGTTCATAAAAAATACTAAAATCGGGATTAAAAAATGGGGGGTGAGGGTAAGAGGGTGAAAAATACTTTACGCATATTCTCATACTTACCAAATATAGAAAATATCATGAAAATCGGTCGAGCCCTTTCGGCGGAGTGCGACCTTAAACACCATGACACGACCATGACCATTTATATATTATATGATACCAAATAAAGAAATGTATAGTGTCTATGATGCATAATAAAGCGAAATTTGCAAACATTCTGGTCTAGATAACTTGCGCTATCTGTGGTAATATTGAAAGTTTTAAAGTGTGCGCGAATAGATGAAACTTAGTTCCGTAGTTATAATACCTCAGTGTGGTTTAAAAAGTTAGGATGGGTATAATATATATTCATCTATACTAATATTATGGAGAAGAAAAAAATATATTTTTGTTTGTATTGGATAAACTAAAAACCGCTGAACATATTTAGATGAAATCGGTATGAGACATTTTGAGACCCTGAGAAAGAAATAGGAATATAATAAAAAATACTATCCCGGAAATCATCCCTTAAGTGGATGAAAAGGGTGATGAGAGTTTGTATGGGGAATCAATTATTTCTCATGTATGTAAGGGATAAAAAACTTATACTTATGTATATATAATAATAATATATAGTCTATCTATTCCATATTAACCGATAAACCGTTAAAACCTAGCGAAGCGAGCGTGAGTCGCTCGTAAGTCATAAATCTTTTCAAACTCAACTTTAGTTCCAGATCTAACCAAAAAAAAATTTAATGTTTCTGGCTCGACTCAGATCCAGCAAAATATACAGTACTGGCATAGCCCGCGGCTCTCCTTAGGTTTTGCATATTAGTATACTCTTACATTGCAGATTTTGTATTTTTTCTCAGAAATGAGGTATTTTCCCGCTGTAAAAAGTATCCTATATGTTGACCCGCATAACCAACTATCACCATACCAAATTTCATCAAAATCGCTCCAGTGTTTATTCTGTGATGCGGTAAAAGACAGACAGACAGACAACAATTTTAAAAACTATAGATTCAGCCTCTGTATCGATAATAATGTTTATTTCAATAAGATTTTCCAAAAAATATTTAATGTACAGATTCGGCTTAGTTACAATTTTATGATATATGTAGGTGTACTTTTCTAATTAAAGCTTTAAATTTTATATGTCATTTAAGAAAAAATATACGTCTCAAATATGTTCTATTCACTCTCTTTATAAAACTTGCTTACGTCAACGTCCCGATGGTGGTATCTAATATGAAAACGTATACTGATGAGAATCCAACCGATATGCTCCACTATGACGTTACGCCGTAATTGTTCCCCATTCGACTTGATTGAAACGCGTAATGGTGACATTACTCACGTGTGATCGTCTGTTTGGGAGATATTTGTTTGATGTTAAGGCACACGACTCACACTAAATTGATAGATTGTGTTGTTTATTAGATTTGAGATATACAGTTGAGATGATTTGATATGTACTACTAACAGATTTATATATGTACTAGCACTGCCCGCGGCTCCGCCCGCGTTCAGATGACCAAAAACCAAATTCTTAGGTTTTACATATTAGTATATTCTTATATTGCAGTTTTTTTTTTAAATTTTCTCAGAAATGAGATATTTTCCCGCGGTAAAAAGTATCCTATATGTTGTAAGCAAGTTGTTGCAGACACTACGTCTCTTCTTATAACCTTAAACTATTCCTTACGTATTGTTGTACCTATCGGGACTGGAATAAGCACTTTGTGAGGTGTACTTTTGATAACGTTGATAGTGTTTTTGCATTCTGGCACAATGTAATACTTATAAACTGGCTTTTGAGCTTTTTTCATGGTGAAATAAGCTATGAAAGATAACACCATAAACTTGTAGTAAACTGTTACGTTTGTTATTGAAATGAAAAACGGCTGATGACTTTGGATGTATTTTTTATTTGCTTGTGGACACGACATATAATGTTACCAATCTGACAGCTAAGCGGGAGCAGGAAGTACGACAGTTGACAAGAATATAATAGACTATAAATGATATTTTTACTCTATGTAACATCTCCCTTTTTATAGAAAATTCCTTACCCTTTCTTCCCCCCTTTTTTTTTAGGTAAGTACATTACAATTTTTTATTACAATTACTATTACAATTTTTTTTTTTTTTTTACTAAATAATTTTATAAAAACATTTAAAGTTACTTTAATTTGCAAAAGTTGTTGTCGTTTCCGAACGTTATTACATGACTTACATTATTCTGTGACATCTGTCATATCATATGTCATGTGACAATTTTCCTGTCAATGTCAAATGATCAAAATGAAATGTAAACAACTTCAGGACGTATGAAAATTACAACTAACAAATCAACCTATTTTAAACTACATTAATTAAAGTTATACAAATATTTCACTAAATGCAATAAACAACACGTTTATGTTACAAACCCATACCTATTGACTGGTTTATAAACACGTCCATATCGAGATCTTGCCTTAGAATGCTGATGTATTTGTGAATCTAATACTGTGTTTGTGTGCTGATAAGGCTGTGTGGTGTGCTGCTCAGAGTTTGGTGTATGCACAGACTGTTTCAGGATAAACTGACGGTTTCTCCTGAACCTACCTTTTTCACTATCAATGGCATAGCTTCTAGGTGTGGGACCTACTTGAGAAATCACTCCGGGCAACCAATTTTTATCTTCAGGTTTGTGTTTGAAGAAGACTTTTTCACCTATAGTTAATGGTTTTAATATTTTTGTATGTTTGTTGTAATAAAATTTAGAATAAGACTTCTGTCTTTCATTTCTTTCCTGTACCTTTTTAACATCACAAAGCCTAGGTTTTAAATTATATTTTACTGTAGGAATGATTGTACGTAGCTTTCTGGACATACTTAACTCAGCAGGTGAGTATTGACTTAGTTTAGGGGTATTTCTGTATAGTAATAATGCTAAATACATATCTGACTTATCTGTTTTACACTTTCTTAACATGTTTTTAACAGTTCCAATAGACCTTTCAACTAGACCATTGGACCTACTTAAATATGGACTTGAAGTTATGTGTTCTATATCCCATTCCTTAGTAAATAAACTAAATTCCTTACTATTGTACGGAGGACCGTTGTCCGAGATCAAAATCCGGCAGATACCATGTCTTGCCAGTATTGACTTTATTTGTGTTATCACTATACTAGCTGTGTATCCTGACCTTAACATGGCCAGCTCTATATACTTCGAGTAATAGTCTACAACAATTAAGTATTTTGTTTTTTCAAACTCAAAAATATCTACACCAACTTTGTACCATGGTATGTTTTCATACTCATGTTGGATAATAGGCTCTTTACTATTATTTCTACGAAAAGATAGACAAACATTACATTGACTTACATACTTTTCTATATCAGTATGCATATTTGGCCAGTAAACTGTAGTTTTAGCTAGACGAATAGACGCATTCACTCCTTGATGACCAGAATGAATTATTTGTAATATATAATCTCTCATTGACTCGGGTATTATAATGCAATTACACTTGAATACTATATTATTAATTACATATAATTGATCTTTTAGATTAAAATAATATTTGACTGACTGACTGACTGATCTTTTATGCTCAGGCCACCCATTTAAACAATATTGCATAATTTGACTCAAAGTTTGGTCTTTGACAGTATGCTCTTGTAACTCTTTTAACTTTTCAGGACTGACTGTTAAATTTGACATTATTAAATTGACATGTAGATCTATGTCTTGATCTACTTCTGACAAACAAGTTTCATTCAACGCTGCTCGGGACAGTGTATCTGCAATGTATAGGTACTTGCCTGGTTTATATACTACATTTAAATTATATGGCTGTAATCTTAGCATAATTCTTTGCAATCTTGGAGGTATATCATATAGTGCTTTTTTAAATAACGTTATAAGGGGTTTGTGGTCGGTTTCCACTGTTACCCACTGACCATATATGTATTGATGGTACTTGGTACAACCAAAAAGTACTGCAAGCAGTTCTTTCTCTATTTGTGAGTATGATTGCTGACATTTTGTTAGTGACGCTGATGCATATGCAATTGGTTGCTTGTCATGTGACAAAACTGCACCCATAGCATCTTTTGATGAATCTACAGACAAAATTAGTTCTCTGTTAGGATCATAATATGTTAAGACTGGTGTAGAGCTAATTATCTTTTTAATGTTATTAAATTGAGCTTCATGGTGATCTGACCAACACCATACAGTATCTTTTGACAAAAGAGTTCTTAAATGACTAATTTCCTGTGACAAATTTTTTATAAAAGGACCGAGATAGTTGACCATACCAAGAAATCTTTGTAATTCTGTAATATTCTTTGGACTCTGCATATTGCAAATAGCTTCTACTTTTGACTTATCGACTTGTACTCCTGCCTTACTGAATATATGACCTAAATATTTTACTTGTTCTTGACAAAAGACTGATTTTTCTTTATTAAATCTTAAGTTAATTTGACGTGCCCTTTGTAAAACCTTTTGTAACCGTTCATTATGCTCTTCTATAGTCCTACCATAAATAAGAAAATCGTCCATCATGATTTTGACACCATCAATATCACCAAATCTTTTTACCATTTCTCTGTGAAATATCTCTGGAGCTGCATTGATACCGAAAGGTAATCTAGTGAACCTATACCGTCCAAAGGGTGTAATAAATGTACATAGCTTTGAAGAAGCTTCTGTTAATTTTAACATCCAATAACCTTTATTGGCATCTAATGTTGTGAAATATTGAGCTCCGGCAAGGCTTGATTTAATTTCATCTAGAGTTGGAAATTGAAAATGAGATCTTAATATTGACTGATTTAGTTTTCTCGGGTCAATACACAAACGTAATTTACCATTCTTTTTTGAACTTAAGACTAGTGCACTTACCCATTCCGTAGGCTCTTCGACTCTTTGAATAACTCCACTTTGCTCCATGGCTTCCAGCTCTTGCTTTAGTGGTTGTTGTAGTTGGAATGGTACCCTTCTGCACGCCTCTATAAACGGGGTTGCATTGGGTTTCAAGGTTAACTCACAGTAAAAATCTGCAAGACAACCTAGCCCTTCAAATAAGTCTGCATTTGACTTAACTATGTCTTGACAGTTTATCTGGAAGGACACACTATTTACTTTTTTGACTAGATTTAATGACCTACATGTGTGTCTCTGCCTATTATATTTTGGCATTTTATGTCTACTATATGAAATTTAACTGTATAACATTGTCTTTTGTATGTAATTGGCAACTGACATTGACCTACTAGAGGTATAACCTCGCCACTGAATGTAGATAGTTTATTGGGACTTCTGCAGATAGTATCATGCGACATGTTTAGTGTGTTAAATGTGTGTATGGATATTATGTTTGTGTCTGCACCTGTATCTAGGATAAAATTCACATTAACATGGTTAATCAATATATCAACATTCCATGGCTTCGACTCATTATTTTGAATACAATAAATAGACCCAACATACAAGGAATTATTATTATTATTTTCTAACATATTTGTTTCTTCACATTGGACACGTTTTATTAGTTTAGACCTACAGAAATGAGCAAAATGGTTGAATTTTTTACATTTTCGACACTGAGTACCTTTTGCAGGACACTTGTACCTGTGCACTTGTCCACACCTATCACATGTGTTCCTTGAATTTGATGTGTTTGATGCTGAACGTTGGTACCTTGTTGTGCTCCTTGGTATTGCTGCTTCACGACGGGATGGGGATCTTGAGACTCTTCCTATAAAGTGTAGTGATGCATCCTCCAAAGCTTTAGTTTGCTGCTTGGTTGCTTCACACCTTTTGGCTATATTGATAGCCTCATCTAGCGTCTTGGGTTTCTCTATCAAAATTCTTTCTTTATAGTATGGATTGTTACAGTTCCAGCTGAAAATATCTTTTAATAAATCCTCCCTGAGTGCTCCAAACTCACAAGAGTGACTGATGTTCTTTATATCTGTGACATATGTGTCGATTGACTCATTTGGTGCCTGTTTTCTACTAAAAAGTTTGTGACGTTCGACTGTAATGTTAATCTTAGGTGTGAAATAATTGTCAAATTTATTGCATAGATCATCGAAAGACAAGTCGTCCAGGTCTAGGCCAAAAGAATAGTAGATCTCGAGTGCCTCCGACCCTATGAAATTAAGGAGAATCGCTACCTTTCTACTGTCTGTTTCGTCTTCTAAATTGTTGGCTCTTAGGTAGACTTTTAGTTTAGTAAGCCACTTCTTCCAAGCTAAAGGTAAGTTATTCGACGTTAAGTCGATCGGCGCTAATGTAATTGTCATCGGCAACATGTCTGACTTAGTGGACTTACGTGTTTTGATTCGCGGCTGCGTGTTTACAAATTCTTCTGTATTCGACATCTTCTATTTCCAATGCACTTCTGACACCATGTTACGTTTGTTATTGAAATGAAAAACGGCTGATGACTTTGGATGTATTTTTTATTTGCTTGTGGACACGACATATAATGTTACCAATCTGACAGCTAAGCGGGAGCAGGAAGTACGACAGTTGACAAGAATATAATAGACTATAAATGATATTTTTACTCTATGTAACATAAACAATGGACGGAACTGTCACTCAGTATTTTTAAATAAAACTATCTTTTCGGATTTTTTCGCGAATTTATTTAGATTTTTGGTTCCCGACGTTTCGAATGCTTTACAGCAATCATGGTCACGGGAGAGACAGGAATAACAGACAGACAGAATTTAAAATGTCAAGTATTCGCGTAAATCTAAGAAAGTATTATGTCACTCAGTACTCACGTTTCACTGACAAACAGGACACCAGTGCTGCCACTTAGTGCTTTGGGCTCCAGATCTAGGGCTTTCTTTGTTTTTGTTTTTTATTGTAATTTATAGTTCAAGAAAAAAAATTTAATATAGCGCGAAGTTTAGCGTTTTTATTTGCAATCCTAGCGCTGAATAAGTTTTTTCATCTGGCAACTCTGCTGGACATAGTATTTGACGTCTTCAATAAATACTTTAATATTTATCACTAATTATTTCTTCTTGGAAGTAATTTGACGATATAGTCATAAACTATTGTATTAGTTGAAATTTTCTATCATTTTTTAGCTGTTGATCTCAACCATTTTGTAAGAGTAGCTAATTATTGTTTTTTTTAATAAATTTCATTATAAATTATTAAAGTGAAGGTATTTCCTGAGCCATAAGAACATTAAAGGATTTAGCATCAATATGAACTGGTAGCGAAAGTGGAAATTGCTCGAACTAGGTCTCTGGTGCAGTATCATAAAGAAAGTTAACTGTTATTTCGATATCCAAATAAGGAATTATACGGTTTTGTGGTAAAACGTTTCAATAAAATAGATTCGTTTACATATTTAATATGCAAATATAATTTATATATAATGTCCGCCAACCGGCACTTGGCCAGCGTGGTGGACTATGGCCTGATCCCCCTCGTATTAAAAGGAACCCCGTTCCCAGCAGTGGGACGTTAAAAAGGGCTGAATACATATAATTTATATGTTATCGATATAAAAAATATTATCACAAGTCAATTTCAACAATTCCTCTCTGTCACAAATCATCTACATATATAAGTGCAAGCATCGCGACCACATTAGCTGTCGCAGGCAAAACAGCTGTTTGACCCAGATACAATACTCGCGTAGTAAGTCTACGCTACCGTCTTTCACTAGCCAGTCTGCAGTTGACCTCGTTATTAATGACTTAATGGGCATCATTTATGCGGGAGTCAAATAAATCGACGCCGACTGGTTTTTTCGGACGGCCTACACGAGTCATTCCTTTCAGTCAGAAACATGTTCTTTGTGTTTATGTGTTCGTGTTCTTAACCGATTTCGGCGATTGTGGCCAATCACGGAAACTAGTTATATGTGCAGGAGATGTAGTGTACAAATACAACCACAACTGAACTTTGTTCCTGTCATTCTCATACTCCGATGAGATGTCAGTTCGACACGCCCGGAGAGAGATCACGCGCTGTATCGACAACTTTGGGCTGTTACAGAAAAAGTCTATAACTAATCTTAGCCCGACTCGGGATTCGAAACCAGGACCGCACCGTCTGCAGCTGCTATCCGAGCCACTACACCACTGAGACATTACAATAATAAGGACCCGTTACCGAGTTTCCAGTTTTTAACCGCTTGTGCAGTCAGTTGGCCGCGTAATTTGGTAGTATTAAATCGTTACTGGTTTCATGTACGAAATAAATGCTTAACTGATTGCCTTATTAACAAAGTAATATTGCGAATGCGAATTATAATTGATGAATTAATTTTTGCATATTAAAACAAAAATCGATAGTGTGTAACAAGTTTTAAACTTATCAGTTATATAGATTAGGTATTTGCCAAACACATGTTTATTTCGATATTAAAAAACAGCAAGCGAAAAAATTTACGGAGCAATCTATGCGTGGGAGTTCCACTATGATTTGTTTACAGCAGTCGAGCGGATCACGATCAGCTGTGAATGACGTGCGCCGCGTCATTGTAGCCGCCTGCCGCGTGACGCGCACCTATCGCCTACGTCCACGCCGTTCTAGTTGTCCTCATTTTTGTCTAGCGTCGGATTTCTCGCCTGCCTCCGTACAATCTATATCTACATATACATATAATAAAATTGTAACTAAGCCGAATCTGTACATTAAATATTTTTTGGAAAATCTAATTGAAATAGTCATTATTGTCGATACAAAGGCCGAATTTAGAGTTTTTAGAATTTTTGTCTGTCTGTCTGTTTGTTACCGCATCACAGAAAAACCACTGAGGGATTTTGATGAAATTTGGTATGGTGATAGCTGGGTTAGTCGGGTCAACATATAGGATACTTTTTACCGCGGGAAAATATCATCTCTCTCTCTCTTTCTGAGAAAAAATACAAAAACTGGTTAGAATAAACCACGATGATACTATATATATTTTAGCTAGGTTACTTACTAAATAAGGCAAAAACCATTAAAAATAGCTTATCTTGAAAAAAATGACAATAGCGCTATTTTATTTAGTTTTTGGTCATCTGAATGCGAGCGGAGCCGCGGGCAATGCTAGTCTTAACTAAAGGACATATGTAATAAAACCGAATGTCTGAACGTTCTGTTGGAAATTGGATTGTATTGTTACTCTTGCTCCACTGATGTTTCTTAGGTATCAAATATCGAATTTGCGCCCCCCAAACCTGATTGCTGGACATGTGCCTGTGGCTTCTTTCTTTCAATGATTTACTAATATCACTCATGGTGGGAGTGATTTGGAGGTTTGATTTTAGTATCATTTTATAGAAAGTTTTATTATTATATAAGTTTCTATTCTCCCAGTCTGGCAAGTAGTTTCAATTGTCATTCCACTAATTTAAAACTTAGTTTTCCTGTTCAACTAGACGACTTATTCGATATATTTTACTTACTTTCTTAAAAAGAAATCGCTGTTTTCACCGATGTATAAACATATGGTCTTGTATAAGGTTTAAATAAAATGAAATCTTTCTTTTATTTACGCGGATGTTTGATATTTTAAATAAAACTATGTTTTCGAGAGTCTTTTCCGTGACCATATTTGCTTAAAAGCATCCGACCGTCGTGTCGGGTACAAAAAATCTAAATAAAGCAGCACAAATATAAGAAAATATAGTTTAATTTAAAATTTAATAACAAGATATAGGTACGTTCAATAATAACCCTAATAAGTTAAAATATCTTTTAAAATATAGATGGTGCCTTAAAATTACAACAATCTTAATCTATTAAAAGTACATCGATTATATGAAGTTCGACCAACTTGTTATAAAAAAACAAATTTCACAGTTTTTGCACAAAGAAAGTTACCGTTATTCTTGGCTTCATTTAAAGTCCGTTTATTAAATAGGTGCTTTTTATTGTACATTGTAATAATAAAATGCTTTATAGATTACACAAAAGCGTCTAATGCTTTTTGTATTGCTTAATCATAAAACAAGTCTTATAAGATAAATATTGTTATTTCTTTGCCATTGAAAAAATAATAATAGAAAATTACAACGAAAAAGATTTTTAGACAGTTTCCTTTTTAATTTAATAGATAAATTCTAATCAGAATTCTATTTCTACATATAAATTGTGTTATGTGTATTTTTTATTGTAATTAACGCTGCGTACGAGGTCGTATTGCTTAATAACTTAGTGGTGGCAGTGCTAATGTTATGCGATACAGTTTTACAATCTTTGTTTCTCTTAGGAATTAGTATTTTTATTTAATTAATAATAATATAATATACCATTTTAATTAATTAATTAATAATATAATATAAATTATATGGTTGAAAATTAATAGGTATATTAAATAGGTTTAACTACTTTAACATCAATCAATATACATGTAAAAGACGATAATAGTTCAGTACATTTTTCTCCTCTGTTTGTCAACCGATTTTTTTGTCATGTCAACCGAAAAATTCGGTTAAACAGCTATGGATCAGCTTTAGTGTTATCAATAAAAAAACGTGTGTGTGTGTGTGTGTTTGCGCTTATGTACGCACGTAAGAAGTTATACTTTTTTGGCGTAACAGAACAAAAATAGCTAAAGATTTCATCCCGTATGTCACATGTGATTATGGTCCAATTTTGATTACTGCGTGAACTTTATATATAAACTAGTATTGCCCGCGGCTTCGCCAGCGTTCAGATAACAAAAAACCACATTCTTAGGCCTTACATATTACGAGTAGTATACTCTTACATTGCAGTTTTTTATTTTTTTCTGAGAAATGAGATATTTTCCCGCAGTAAAAAGTATCCTACATGTTGACCCGAATAGCCAGCTACTAACATACCAAATTTCATCAAAATCCCCTCAGTGGTTTTTCTGTGATGCGGTAAGACAGACAGACAGACAATAAAGAGAAAAAAAAATTCTAAAAACTATACATTCGGCATCTGTATCGATAATAATATTTGTTTCAATAAGAATTTCCAAAAATTATTTAATGTACAGATTCGGCTTAGTTACAATTTTATTATATCTATTATTATATATATAAAAGAAAGTCGTGTTAGTTACACTATTTATAATTCAAGAACGGCTGAACCGATTTGGCTGAAACTTGGTAGGGAGGTAGCTTAGAACCAGGAGACGAACATAGGATACTTTTTAGCCCGTTCGACTGCGTTCCCGTATACAAGACTCAAGAACGGCTGGACCAATTTTTATGATATTTGAATTTTTGGATTTCTCTCATTCCGGAATAGGTTAGTTAATACATAAGTATTAAAACGTCAGAAAAATTAACGAAAAAAATATATTTATATGGCTAATAACACTGGCTAATAACTATTTATATCTATTTAAAACGTACCTAGCGACGAACCCGAGCGAAGCCAGGGTGAG